TCTGTTATAAGGAGCTGAGCAACACTAAAGATCCGTGGCTAAGGTGTTGAAAAAACCTAAAGTTTCTGTTATAAGGAGCTGAGCAACACTAAAGATCCGTGGCTAAGGGGTTGAGAAAACCTAAAGTTTCTGTTATAAGGAGCTCAGTAAGAGTAAAGATTCGTGACTAAGGAGTTGAGAAAACCTAAAGTTTCTGTTATAAGGAGCTGAGCAACACTAAAGATCCATGACCAAGGGGGTTGAAAAAACCTAAAGTTTCTGTTTCTTTGTTATTAGGCACAAAGCTACACAAAGGGCTATCTGTGCTCTGCCCACCACGGGTATCGAAACCCGGTTTATAGCGTTGTAAGTCCGCAGACATTCCGCTGTGCCACTGGTGGATGAACTAATCGTCTTACGAATAATTTATTTGAATGTTATATCTCCTAAAATGTTGAAAACATGATTATTAATAAATTACAAATACAGTAAAAAAAAAGCGATAACAAGTAATAAGCGTTACATGCTACAATATTTTAAATAAACTAATAATCATTATTCATTTTAAAAAATTAACTTACTGCAGTAAAAAAAAAAGTACAACATTTGATAATTTCCAATACTCAAATTCAAGTCGAAAAAAATCAATATGGATATAAAAGTTCCGACATAAAGAGCCACCTGGTGTTATTTATGATCAACTTTATTTTTTTTTTGGAAATAAATTGTCCATCCTTATGCTATCGTGACCGGCTTGGTTTATTTGCTGATATGTTTGTCCATCATACCAAACAATTGATCAACAGTTAAAAATGAGCATTCATTAAAAGAAAAAGTTGAAAAATGTATAATTGTAGTTAAAATTAAGGCTTTTGATTGGGACGAGTTTCAGGTGTTTTTGTGTAACTTGCAAGGTGTTGCTAACTTTCTCACGCTCTATTGGGTTCTGTCGGTGGAAATAATTAATCGAATTACATGGAACTTATTTTAAGTTTCCAAAATAGTGTCTAGTTTCTGCGTGAAAAATTATACAAATTTAATTTAGTATTTCTGTCTGTTTTTTGTTACCCACCACCAGTATTAAAACCTGATTTTTTTAGCATTATAAGCCGTCAAACTTAACATTCGACCAGCAGGGGGCTCTCCGTGTTCTGACGTTGATAAAAATTAATGCTATTCGGCACAGAGCAAATAATTATACCGGCGAGACCAGGGAACCTGCGATGAAGAACAATGACTTTATAGCAAGAATTAAATGTTCATTAGCGAGACGTACAACAACAATAAACCTCAGAACATCACGCAGTGTGAAGCACATGAAGGGTTTTAATAAGATTAGAGTGCACATGGAAATAACACGTATAAATATTTATTACTGGAGTACAGGAAGAGAAGAGGGGGGAAGACTCTTTTCATTGTTTTTGTTTTTTTGTTTTGTTTTGTTTTGAATTTCGCGAGAAGCTACTCGAGGAATATCTGCGCTAGCCGTCCCTAATTAGAAGTTATAGACTAGAGGTAAGGCAGCTAGTCAAGAGCACCCACCGCCAACTCTTGGGATGTTCTTTTACCAACGAAAAGTGCGATCGACCGTTACATTATAACTCCCCCCCACGGCTGAAAGGGAGAGCATGTTCGGTGATGGGATTCGAACTCGAGACCCGCAGTTTACGAGTCGAACGCCTTAACCACGAGGAAGGTGACACCACTACAACAACTGTGGGCAAAATGTCTATGGTCACGAAAGGTGACAGCCCGGAGTGAAGGGGCCACTTTTATACTTGAAAAGGTGACAGCCCGGATTGAAGGGGTATTTTATACTTGAAAAGGGGACAGCCCGAATTGTAGAGGTATTTTGTACTTCAAAAGGTGACAGCCCGGATTGAAGGGGTATTTTATACTTGAAAAGTGACAGCCCGAATTGAAGGGGTATTTTATACTTGAAAAGGTGACATCCCGGATTGAAGTGGGTACTTTTATACTTGAAAAGGTGACATCCCGGATTGAAGTGAGTACTTTTATACTTGAAAAGGTGACAGCCCGGATTGAAGGGGTATTTTATACTTCAAAAGGTGACATCCCGGATTGAAGTGGGTACTTTTATACTTGAAAAGGTGACAGCCCGGATTGAAGTGGGTACTTTTTATACTTGAAAATGTGACAGCCCGGATTGAAGGGGTATTTTATACTTGAAAAGGTGACATCCCGGATTGAAGTGGGTACTTTTATACTTGAAAAGGTGACATCCCGGATTGAAGGGGTATTTTATACTTCAAAAGGTAACATCCCGGATTGAAGGGGTATTTTATACTTCAAAAGGTGACATCCCGGATTGAAGGGGCTACTTTTATATTTCAGCTCAAGCCTATGTAATAATTCAATCCTTTTATTTTCGGAGGTGTTTAACTTGATCTCAATCTCCAAATATTCGACGCTGACTCTTTGTAGGATAAGTTAATTAATAGATATATCTATTTAGCTTATATGCATGTGGAGCTAGTCCTAACACGCATCTTCATGACTAATATGATCTACAGGTTTTTTTCGAAGTGTTTTTAGAATACCATATTTTAAAGGGGAATTACAAATGTCTAAAATAATACCTATAATATTAATAATAATTAATCCTCTTTCATGAATTAATAAAATATGCATGAGCACCTATTTGTTTAGTTACAATTTTAAAAGTGAATTATGCAATTTATAAACGATCCCCCTATGTTTGATAGTGCTATAATAAGTGATGTTGTTCGAATCAAACTAAACACAGTAAGGATTTATGTCCGTATACTGTACATAAATATACATAAAACATGGCCTCCAAGCATTTTATAAGTTAGTTTTAAAATTACTTCTGAATAGGGGAAAATTACTTACCCCGTGAAAATTATAGCTTCATAAAACAGTTTTGTTTTGTTTTCTCTGAGTGAACATTCAAACAAAAGAAATCATACTGAAATGTAGGATAATATATTGTCGAAACGGTTCTCCTAACGTCAGTGACAGAAATTCATTATTTTTGCAGTCTCTAGCCCTTACTGCGAAAGGAGCTTATTGTTAGCTGAAAATTAAAAGGTTTCGTGTTCAAGGCTTTGTAATATTAAAAAAAAAAAAGTGAAAGATAAGGATAAGCACGTGACCTTCTGAGCACGATCAGGTTTGACGTTTTGATTTATTAACCTCTCACAAAGTTCAGAGATTACTAAAATTTCCCATTAGTGAAGTATGATCGTTCAAGGCTCTAGCTGGGTTTGCAAAATTTTATAGCTACATAAATGTTTATCAGAGAAGTAAGTAGCTTTGATATATTT